TGAAATCGTTTTACTTCCACCTGTTTCCTTTGAAGAGTTTGCACAATACAAAAACCTGTCGACTATTTGTTCCCATGCACCAACACCAAACATTACTTGAGGACCTCTTGCTTCCATAGATGTATAAATAGAACCTACTGGGTTCATTAAATCAAACATATGAGATATTATAGGATTGTCTCTTTTGAACTTAAAATATAGTGCAACTATTTCAGGTTTCTTCTGGTTTGTGTCAGAATATTTTTTATAATATAATCTTATGTTTTCAGGGTAGGTAAAGTCTTGACTATAATATTTATTTCTGTCATCTTCATAATAGTATACTATTCTCGTTTTTTCTATTGCATTATATCTTTTATATCTATAAAAATCTAAATATAATGTTAGCTTTTGTTCATCTACATGTGGTGTTCTAACGTCATCTCCATAGTCATAATAATATGGTGCTGGAGCTGGGTCAGGCAATGTCATATCTGCCATTTCATAAACTCTTAAATATTTCTTTTGTTCGTCTCCATATAAGTTTAAGTAGCAGTTGTTGTCTAATGGAACTTTAACTTGTGTACCATCGTTCTTTTATAGCTTACATACATTTCATTGTTATTTTTCGGAATGAGTTTATACCGTGTACCATTTTCTAAGGACTGTACCAACTGCCATCTAAAATATTTGTTTTCTTCATTGACAGAAAAGTCACCAACAATAGTCTCAATATTTTTTGTTCCAACTAAACTTTGGTATATTTCATTGACATATGTTTTATCTGCTTTATTTTCAAGGCTAACGTTTAAGTCTGTTATTTCAGAAGATGTATGTGTATGTCCAACGTCACTTTTCCTGTTTAAGGTTTCTTGTAAGTTTGTAATATTTGCAATGGTATGTGTATGTCCAACGTCACTTTTCCTGTTTAAGGTTTCTTGTAAGTTTGTAATATTTGCAATGGTATGTGTATGTCCAACGTCACTTTTCCTGTTTAAGGTTTCTTGTAAGTTTGTAATATTTGCAATGGTATGTGTATGAGTCTTTTTAGAATATTCTTTGTCAGCTCTTGTCACTTCACTTGACATTTTATTGTCAACATATGTTTTGTCCGCTAGTTCAGGATGAGTATGTTCTTTTTGTTGCATATGTTGCATCTGCTCTGTCATGTTCTTCTTGAACTTTTTCAATGACATACTCTTTGTCAGCTTTGTTGTCAACATCTGCTTTCGTTGCATATGTTGCATCTGCTCTGTCATGTTCTTCTTGAACTTTTTCAATGACATACTCTTTGTCAGCTTTGTTGTCAACATCTGCTTTCAAAAGAAGTTCTTTTATAGGTTTCTCGTTTAAAGTTCCTTTGTTGGATTTATACAAACAGTATGGTTCTTACTGTCTTGAAACAGAAACTCATCTGTCATTGGGTTTATCGTCAGTTTTAAGTTTCCTTCTTTCAATGACTCAGATATCTTAGAATAGTTTGAAAGTTTGTTGTGTTCTTATTTAGAGCTTGCAAAATGAGTTGTCGGTTGTGTTTTATTTCTCTCATAGACGCTGTTTCTTTCGACATTTTTATTCTAGATAAAATATGCTTTCAATAGAAAAAGAAAATTCAAGAGTTGCTACAACTAAACCATTAGATGAACTTTTTACTAACGTAGGTCAAAAGTTTGAGACAGAGACGCGTAAAGCATGAAGGCTATCGTTTTGACTACCCATTGAGATGGTTAAGAGACCCATCCGTCACAAAAGCTATTGGCTTTCGTAGAATGAAGTTTGTGTCTGTAGAAGATAAAAAGTTTTCCATTTATTGTAAGGTTTCATATAGATTATATATCTGAAGGGAAACGAAAAATGTGGGAAGAAATTGAGCTAATACAAGTTGACCTTTCATCTTCTCTACAGACTGCGTTAAAAAAATATAGAAGATAAAATAAATTCATGTTATGCAAAATATGCTGATGAATATGCAAATACGAGAGCACACTTTATGTGAGAATTGTATATGACAAACAAAATTCACAAGTGTCATTTCAAATCTACGGAAGACAATCCAAAGAAAGACGAACAAATATATACAGAATTCACTGCAATGTCATGGTATTATTTGCAAAGAATGTTAATCAGAAAGTCGAACTTCCTTTAGCAAATATTTACAGTCGATATGCAAGAGATGAACCATATTTATTTAAAGATGTTTTCGACCCAGCTGCTATTATTGTTCATGCTTCATTTTCTGGCGCCCAAAACTCTTTCTTATGCTTGGCAAATGACTTTTACGAAAAACCTACAAAGTTATACGAACCACAAGTGGAAGTATTTCAGACTTTCAAGTATGGTTTACTACAGATGGAAGAAAAAGAATAATTCCATTATACCATGCGTTTTACTTAGAACTTAGTTTCATATACAACTACTATCGAACGGTAAAAATATATATTTTTTAATAACGGTTGAGGTGTTGGATTTGGTTGCCAACTAGACTGTGGTGCAGGTTCAGGCTGTTGTATAACAGGAGCTTGTTCTTCTGGTTCAGGGTCTTTAGGTATAATACCAACAAACTGACCTACTCTTTTACCAATATTTTTGACTCCGTTCCAAATTCCTCTTCCGACAGATTTTATTCCATTCCATATACCTCTTCCAACATTTCGAAAGAAGTTTCCTATTCTTCCAAAGAAACCCATTTTACTATATGCAAAAATCTAATGTCCGCCTAGTCTCTTACGTTTCCTGTTGAGTTCCATTGCATTCTTTAACTGGAGCTCATACATTCTATTTCTCCTCTGGTAGAAAACATACTCTGGGTCAACTCCTGTGTTCGCGTCATCTGCATAGAGTTGTTTATATCCCACTTCAGGGTTTGTATAAAACTCTTTCCATCTCATATTTGCATACCATGGTGGCAAACCTAACGCAGCGTCATTTGACATGGCAGTTTGCATTTGTACATCTGTTGGCACTTGACCATAGTTTGCCATTGCAGTTTGTATTCTAACTTCATTTGGAATATTCTCTGGGTTTGGTTGTCCAGGTTGCTGTGCATTCGCTAAGTTCTGTGCGTCCATTTAATATTAGATAAAAATATCTCTTACGAGTACATATACTGGACATTTGCAGCATTGGTTCATCTTCATATTCTCTATATCTTTCTGCCACGTCAAATAAGTAAATGACACAATGGAAAAAACCTAAAACAAGTAGTCCTATTTCAAACCACATTTACTTACCAATAAAATTTCTTTGTTATGACACTTTCTCCAGTTTATAGGACCTCTCTCATATTCTATCTTATCGTATCTAACTCATAGTCATGTATGTCCTCTAACCATCTCATGACACTTTCCAAACCACTTTTATCGGATGTAAAGTAAAAGCATGGATGGTTATGTAAAACGTCTAAAGTTTCTAAAGAGTCTCTCAAAGTCCAGTCTACTTGGTATTGAAAATCCCATGTGTTATAGAACGGCGGGTCCACTATAAAGAAAACATTTTCCTTGTCTTTATATTTTTCATACAAATCTGTCCAATGACATCTCACAAACTCTATACCCTCAATATATTTTTCTATGTCCTCTTTGAAAACATTTGTATAGTTAAGATATAAAACTTTTGACATAAGTGTTTCAATGTCATGAACTCTTATAGCACCACTATATAATAGTCTAGCAGATATACTATCCCAGTCTATATATTCTGCTTTTTTCAAAACCTCTCTGACAGTATTTTCTTATCTAATGGTATACGTTCCATCTTACCTATAGGTATCTTTTCTTTTAACGCTTTCAATATATTGTTTGTGTCTGGAATATGTTTGAGACGGTCCATATAGTTGTCGAAGTCATTGCATATAATCTTTGAGTCAGGAAATATTGTATGGCACAAATGAGATATATAGAAACTTCCACCGAACAAGTCTACAAATGTTAGACCATTCGGTAGTTTCTTAAGTTCTCTCAATAGAATATCTTTACATCTACTCTTATTTCCAAAGAAGGGTAACGGTGGTTTTGTAAAATTCATTTATATATAATAATAAAAATGTTTTTACCCGAAAAGTGACAGAAAAGTGACAAAACATGAAAACATATATAATTTGTGAAAAGCTCCTGGAAGCCCTCCGAATAAAAACTTCATTTATACTAACCATCTTCAGGGCTAGAAGGCACGAAGTGCCTGGAAGCCCCACTACCTTTTTTTTTTTTTTTTTTTTTTTTTTTTTCGGGATCCTGTTATTTCCGAAATCGACAAAAAATTTGGAAATTTAATTTCCGAAATCGAAATTATATTAATGTTTTTAATATTCTTATATCAAAAGGATTAAAGTTCATTAAGAGAAAAACAATTCTTCTTCTTCAATCTATTGGCGCATTTATTTCTACACGCCAATAACGAAGGGAAAATTATAAGACACCATGGTGTCTTCAAAACGCTAATTTTTGATATTTTTAACAACCCTACTGAGGATTTTGGAAAAAAGTTTTTACATGAACATGTGTATATTATATGAAGTATATTGATAAGGTAAAAATCAAATTTTATTGCATATTCATCGAGAAAATAAACTAACGAATCCCTCAAAATTGAGAGGGTAATCCTCCTCCTCTCAAATAAACGTACATACAGGTGCACCCTTAAATATGACACTTTTATTTTTTTTAAAAAATTAAATTATTATTATAATATCAAGGTTCGATCCGGATTCGTCTAAAATTTTTTATTTCCAAAAAGAAATTTATATCTTACTAAATTAAAATGTTGCTTCCAAAGTGGCATCCCTAATTTAAATATGCAATCATCATTCGTTTAAATTCAAATGAAATCATTTAACATGTCATTCTATAATTTGATAATTTTTGATTCTAAATCTAATCGATAATTAAAAGCTCAATACCTTATATAATTTGCCTTCAGATTTTAATCTTTTCTTCTCATTGCATAATTTAGTTTAAAAAAATGTGGAATTAATTCATGTTTTATGAAGCTAGCCTGCTTGGGATATTCAGCTGTATCATAAGGAAATGCAAGATGAGTCTCCTGTTTTCCAGTCAATAACACAAATATCGTCAAAGCAGTTGCAGTTGAATTGGACAGTCAAGCAGATCGGAGAAGGAAAGGCAGAATTGACAACAATCCAGCAGATATGGTCATTCTCTGGAACAACAATCGATATGACGACATCTGTTCACTGGACACAACACGACAAACTGCTCAAATACGTGATTCCAACAACAATTCGTTCTAGGAAAGCGAAATTCGGTCTCCAGTTCGGATACATCGAACGAGAAACACACAAGAATACGATGAGAGATTTCGCAAGATTCGAAGCAAGCGGCCGATGTTCACCACGATATCAGATTCGAATCTTTTGTTTTTAGATAAATAAAAATTTACTCTAAATTCTCTAAGAGCATAGGAAAATAAGTGTTAAAAACTCAAAATACAATGAATTATATAATGAACTAATACAGGAATATTTGACATTCATCTGTATCGAATAATGTTTGACTGCACTCCAAAGACTTACTCGATTGACTTTGATTGACTCATGTGCTGGTAATCCTCCATTATAAAATTCTGATGGAGTTTTGCAATACATTCCAATACTTAACCACCAATAATTTATGCCGGGATTCCCATCAAGATAAGTGGCAACTGCGTTAACATTTATATCTGGGAACTGTGTTCGAACAAGACCTCCCCATCTACTCATTGGTGCTTCAGTGATGAAAGCTTCAAATCAGGTATCTTTGGTTTGTCCTGAAACTTCGATTTCTTCGGTAGGAGAGTTTTTCTGTTTCCATGAATTGATAAGCTTTAAGCTGGGATATTCGAGAATATAATATCGAAAGTTGTCATTCATTATGTATTTAGAATTATTAAGATCATACAAAATGGAAAATTTGTTCAACTTAGTTGAATTTTTAGCTTCATCAATAGAGTTAAAATATCTTGAAGATGTTGTAAAGTTGTGTTCAAAAACAAGTTGGTATATTTTAAAATCAAGTGACGAATAAATATCGCCACCTAAATATTGTCGTTCGAGAATCATTCATTAAATTAGACTAATAATTATTGGGATCGAATGAATTGTTTGTTTTTGTTTTTGTTGGTTTGTAAAAGGGCTTTAAACTGTATTGCTTACTGATGGTTTTCACAGGAAAAAACAACAAAAACTGACAGAAATATGACACATCGATAAAAAGGTTACGATAATTTCATTATGTTATATAAGATTTCATTTCAAATCGATATATTTTTCTGACAATATAATCATTTTTTACATGTCAAAATAATTTGGGGATCATTCAAATTTTTTTATCCTGGGATGAATCCAATTGTAAAAGGCTCAACACCTTATACAATTGGTGTACAGAACAATAAAACCCCTCTTCCCATGTCATTTAATCTTTCCTGCTGCTGCTGGCTTAATCCAGTTGGGATTTTCGCCTCAAATCATTTCAATATTCGGCGTTTAGCAGCTGCAGGAACTGTTGATGGACAAATACTTATTCTCGATGTAAAAGAGACTTTGATACAATATGTTTCATTGATGTGCGGCCATACAGCTCGCGTTTCTGATATCATTCAACAAGATTTAAATACATTTTTGTCAGTTTCGATTGATGGAACGATCTGCATGTGGTCCATAGCAGACGCTATATGCCTATTTTCAAATCAGTTCACAACGCAATATTCGAATTATAAACTTGCAACGTCATATGGTCTCCCAAATCTAGTATACATATGGTCAAACTTCGGACAAGTATACCTTGTTGATGTGCATACAGGAAATATAGTTAAAAATTATAATTTTCCTGGTTTATTATCTTTTTCGCCTTCATCAACAATAAACAAGCTCATCGTATCGAATATCCTATCATTTAACTTATACACAGTTGGAGAATTGGGAATTACATGCGACAATCAAAATCGAACGTTTTTTGATTTAAATGACGTGAAAATTTGTACTCCTTTCGGTATCGTCAGGTTTTGTGAGAGGAGAATCATATTCATTGATGTTGTTGGTATCAGAACCCTCGGATCCATGCTTCTTCACAACATTTCTGATGAAGATCAAATTATTGATGCAAAATGGTACGCTCCTGATCAAATTTTTGTTGCATTTCGCAGTGGTATATTGTATGAATTCAAACTAGACGCAGAAGCTAAAGTAAAAGCCCATAAAATCGCAGAATCAAAAATTATGATCAATTTTGCTTCGAGAAACAGCAACAGCGAAGTAATATTCATCAACAACAACATGAACCTAGTATATATAGCAGAAGGCAAAGGCGAAATCGAATTAGTTCGAAATCATAATTCAAAAATTTTTGAAGTTCCAGATATAAAACAGCCGAATATCGTAAGGATAACAGAAAAGAATACGTTTAAACTACTCAATTGGACAACTCCTTCTGTTACTTCACCTGGATATTCAATTGATTCCAAAATTACAGCGATAAAGTGCCGAAATATTACATCCCATGGCCTCCAACTGATTGTTGGTGCTGAAGATGGCACAGTCCGCTTCTTTTGGAAGGAGAAACAAAGCGCTTCCCAGAAAATTTTGGCATTAAATTCTCCGGTCGTAGAATTTATTGAGCTTTCCTTGGCTAACGCTGGCAAATTTATATTGTTTGCCATCGGAAAGGACGGAAGCTTGGCTGTTTTCTATTTATTCGACTTAATCGAAACTTTTATAACGATAGGTTTCCCAATCGTTGCAATTTACGCAATGAGAATGCAAGAATTAATTATAGTTAGAAGATTAGATAACACTCTTTACGTTTACAGCCTAAACGAACCAGATCCAATCGAATTATTGACAAGTTTACCAAAAGATGCAGAACAAATCTACCCTGTTAAGCCATCCACCAATAGTACAATACCTCCATCAACTCAGCTTATCAATTTCGGCAAGAGTTCTTATTATTATTCAACTTTGACTTTGAATAATCTCCAGAACGAATTGATGAAACCCGAAAATGCAGAGCATAGGAAGTTGTATTCATCGATGTTAGCGATATACTTCCATTTGCTTCAGCCTGTTTCGAAATCAAAATCTTTTGGTTTAATTAGAGACAGTATTTCAACAGATTTCACTCAATTTGCTGCGGATCAGATCAAGGATCCTGATGTAGATACATCAGATTTCTCTTTCTGCTTGATAGGAACCAACAAAATTCCAACATTTTTCTATCCTCTGTATACTATATCAGGAATGGCCATTTACGATGTATCCCCTTATCAAGCGGCCTTGCATTTCGTCGCTAGTAACATCATTGGCCAGATACTTTCATTGGATTGTTCACTTCGAATTCTTGAAGTCACTTTTGTACAGTCAATGGTCCATTTTCTTGAATCGGATGACCAGAAAATCCGTCAGATTGCGTCCCTTTCATGCGCCAGATCCGCCAGTTGCTTGCATTTGGAACATGCACTTCCTATTGCAAAATTGTTCGGAGATTTGAAGTCGATCGATAGTCTTTCGCCAACAGAGATGCTTTTACTCTGCATCCTTTGCATCGCGGAGGACTCTTTCGTCAACAAAATCCATCATCGAAAATTATTTGACTTCCTTTTAAGAGTTTCAGTCAACGATGATGACATTGCCAACTTGGCTTTGATTTTATTGATCGATGGATACACAACTTGGTCTTATATCCTTGGAAACCACTTATTATTAATGAATAACATTGTTGCAAGGATGCTGAAGTTCATTAGACCCGAACACGTGCAGAGAACATTCGCAATTGCAGCTGGTAGCGATATCGGAACGTTTTTCAAAGTTTTTGAAACTTTTATCAAATCTGAAGAAACAGATTTGGCTCCAGAAGTATTAGTAACGCGTTTATTCTCCCTAACAACATTAGTTTCCTTTGCGAACAAGCACGCGGTAGGTGCATTGGGCTCATATTACATTGCGACTGTCGGAAATGACTATCCAAGGCTGGCAAACATCGCAATCGAAGAACTAAAGAAACACGCAAAAAGATTAGAGTCAGTGGATGTAAAGGGAAATCTAATTTTGATAGGTTTACAAGATGGTTGTGTGTCACTTTTCAAACATTGTAATTTAATTTTTTCTGAGAAATTTTTTGAAACTCCTGTTTGCATTGTTTCTATCGGGCCTGATGGAAGTGCTGCAGCTGCTGCATCGAGGGATGATCAAAACGCTGTTATTTTCACTACGAAAAGAAATGGATTTATGTCGAAGAAACCGAAAGTAATTGCAAAAGTTCCCACTGGATTCCATCCTGTCTGGAAATCTCCAACAGAATGTACTTTCCAATAATTTCGTTTTATGTAAAAGATAAATTGTTTGTTTTTGTAATTTTTACTTGTTTTATTTTCGAAAATGAATTTCTTTTTCTAACTGAACAAATTTCAAAAAATAATAAATCAGACATGATGATAATTTTCACAAAACTGAAAGTGCGATGGTTATTTAAGGATGTACTTACCACTTTCTAACATGCTCTTCCAAAATTAATATTTCTTTATCATAATAATAAAAGCGCATAATTTGTTCAATAAAGTCGTAAGTAATGCATTCAAAACGGGTAGAAAAAATTAAGTGTATAAAAACAATGTGTAAATGTGTGAGCAAAAATTCTAATGCTTGTCATGCTAATCTAATGAGACTTTCATAGGCCAGCTTTGCCTTATTGATCAGCCTATAAGATTTCGAGGCATGTTTATATTAAATTTACTTGGAATGAAATAATGCTATTCAATGAAATGGGAAAATTTATTGTTTGTATTTAGTATTACGTTATACTATTGCTTAAAAGGATGCTAGTGAAAAAGGATTAAATAAATAAGCTTAATAAAGAAATAATATGATTTAAAAATAATTTGCAAATTTTTGTATTTATCATTGATTGTCCATAAATTATTTTAATATCAGCTGCGTAGAGTCAAGATTAATACCTTTCTGAACAATAACATATATACATAATTGCAGAGCTCAAAATTTATTATAAATATGAAAATAATTTTATGAAAAGATAAGTTTTATTGTAATTGTAATCTTTTCATTATTTGGCATCTATAGATATTAGATGATCTCTAACATTAGGTTTTGCAAGTGTGAGGTGCAATTTATCCATTTTTATCCTTTGCATATTTGTTTGCCCCAAATGAGATAAGATATTCAACAACTTCAAGTTGACCTTTTTCTGATGCCCAAATGAGTGGATTATACCTATCATTATTCTTTGCTTCTTTATCAGCTCCAATAGAGATAAGAAATTGAATAACTTCAAGATAGCCATTAAATGAAGCAAAACTAAGTGGAATATGTCCATAACCAGTCTTTGCTTCTTTTTTTTAGCTCCAATTGAGACAAGATATTTAGCAACATCAAGATGATCATATGGTGATGATTGTATTAGAGGAGTCCATCCATTCTGAATGGATTTTAATTCTTTCTTGTGAATCATGTTTTTCTTTCTCATTTTGATTTCAAACACCAATAATGCCATCAAATACATCAAATTTCATGCAATTTTTAGATAGATTCAAGAAGTGAAACGACATCTTGCATGTTTTGGATATTGCCATTTGCGTTTCAGGCGATTTGAAATTTTTATTATTATTATTATTATTTTATTTTATTTTATTTTGAGATGAAAGAGCATCAAAGAAATTGGAGATATATTTAAAATAATCAGAGTTGACCATTATTAAAAATCAAATCCATTAATAAAGTATAGCAACAATTGTATATGCGAAAATATAAAATACAATTATTTTTGACTACTATACCTGACTGATTTTTAAATACACAAATATTGCATGCATTGAATGTGAAATAATTGCTTTTGCAGGTTTTTTGAACTTGTAGAAATGTAAGTGCAACCTTAAACAAAATATTTTAAAATTCAAATTTTTTAGTGTGGAGATAATACGTTTTATAAAATTAAATTTTACTCACATGATGACATAATATTTTATATTGTTATTATTTTGCACCTGATCTAAGAAGAAGATTCATGATCTTCTTATACTTTTCATTCTCGTTTTGTTTCTCTTTCGCAATATCAAGTGCAGTTTTTCCATCATTGTTTTTGTCACTAAGATTGACACGAATTGAAACTAAATATTCAACAACTTCAAAATGACCTTTCTTTGCTGCCCAATGAAGTGAAGAATCATTATAATTTGTTTTATCATTTTTATTGCATCCTATTTGAATCAAATATTTAACTACTTCAAGACGACCATTATATGATGCAGCAATTAATGGAGAGAATCCATCATTATCTTTCTCATCTGGATTTCCTCCAACTGAAACAAGGTATTTAACTGTTTCAAGATGACCATTACTTGATGCAAAATAAATACAATTTGCATTATCATTTGATTTAGAGTTTACATCACAACCAATACTTATCAAATATTTAACAGTTTCAAGATGACCGTATGATGATGCACAAAGAATTGCATTAAATCCATCTTTATTTCGCCAATTTTTATCAAAACCAACTCCAATTAAATATTTTACAATTTCAAAATGTACATTTGCAGATGCTTCAATTAAACAATTGTTTCCGAATTTATTAACTGCATTTCTATCACAACCTCCTTCAATAAGAGATTTTGTTAATTGAAGATTTCCATTAAAACATGCCATAATAAGTGGAGTATTTTGATCAGAATCTCTCTTTTCACTTAATCCATCTGCACATGAAATAGACATATTCAATTTATCATCTTTATCTGAAAGTTCTTTAAGGAAATTGTAAACTGAATCAAAATCATTTGAATTTCGCAATTCAGAAATTTTTGCAAATTCATTGATAGATTGATTTAATTGACTGTTTTTGTTATTAAGATTATATATTTTGTCTTTGTATCTTGAATTTTCTGTTTGAATTTGATTAAATTTGTTATTAAGATTAGATATTTCGTCTTTGTATTGTTTTCCTTCGTTTTTGTATTGATTGATTTCATTTTCCATCGTAGCGATCTTTGATTTGAGGTTTTGAATTTCGGATTTTAATTGTGTGACTTCTTCTGAATCTGAATTAATTTTTGCGTTGTATTTCTTAAGGTAATCAATTAATGAACAAGAAGATTTGAGTTTCAGGTTCTTTTTGTAGCAATTAAGAACGTTAATCGCGTCTTCGAATGAATCAATGAAAACATTGCATTTCCGAATAAAACAAAATAGTTTAGGTGTACTATACTTTGATTTGCCTTGAGAAAAAAGAGTAGAGAAATCGTGAGATTTAAGATTGGCTTTTTCTAATACTTTTGGAATGTCATCTTTATCTACAATATCATAGAAATTCTCTTGTTCGATATATGTTTGAATGTTGTTAGCGATATAATCAAAATCAACAGTCAGACCTTGGCTCATCGAAAAAAATTTTGAAAGTCGTTTTCTAAAAATCCTATTAAATTCCAGTGAATTATCGTAGAAATCAAGATTTCTCAATTGATTTATTTATATTTTTGTTATAAACAGAAATTCATGAAAAGTGACACCTCACAATTTTTTGTTGAAAACTCATCTTTTTCAATGTTGTCACTTTTCATGAATTTTTGTTTACAACAATTTATTTATATTTTTAATCGAGAGAACACAGGAAAAATTGTGAGAAATTTAATGCTTAATTTTATTGTAAATATATATATACATTCCATAGACATACTTCATTCTTCTAAGTAATAAATATCAAAATTCATTGAAATTGTTCAAAACAAAGGTACATTCACTAGGCAATAACAGCAAAATGGAATGAAAATAGGATAAATAGCATCCCTATATAGTGCCTAACAATATTTATACGGATTAAAAATTGAGAAAACAGTGTATAAGCGGAATAATAGTAAGTTTTCAGTGGTATCATTATCCATTAAGAATGGGATGAATATTTAAAATTAATTTCGAAATAAAAAGGGAGAGAATAAAAATCCCAGATAGCAAATGAAGGCAAAACCGTATCTGAGAATGAACTGCTGAAAAGTTTTGGCATATTTACATTCAAGTAAGCATTTATCACTTTCAGATGCGCCACAAATGCAAGAATTATTTAACAAAACCAGAAAGTAAAAAAAAATCAAATAATTACTTGATGAAGAAAAAAAAGTATTTTTTTAATTTTTTTTCGGCTCTAAAAGAGAGAACTTACTCGTTGAAGAATTCAAGCCAGAAGTCCTTGAACTGGTTAGCGATTTCCTCTGTTTCAGCCTTGATTGAGAATGACATTTCTCCCTCTTTCTCGATGCACTGAGTGAGAGCAACATTTCCATCAACGTAACCGTAAGCGAAGATTGTGTTTCCTTCATCGTTCGAACCCTTTGCGATGATTCTGATGTTTGCCTCTTCGACAGCTTCAGCGAATGAGTCGAGTTCCAACTCGTAACCGAGAGAAATTGAGTCCTCAACAGTGACAATTCCTTCTTCAGATCCCCACATCTCTTCGAACTGTTCTGGAGAGATTGTCATCTCATCGTTGATTTCCTCGAGTTTGTGTCCTTCGCCTTCCTCTTCTTCCTCATCGACTTCCAGTTCGATTTCCTCTGGTTTGACGTTCCAGTCGCTTTCTGGCTTGTCGAAAACAACCGAGAATGTGTTGTATTCATCGAACACCATATCGATGTTCTCTGCATCAGCGTCTTCAACGAATGGTTCTGTTGATGTCTTCGCTGTGAGTAAAGCGGCTCTTGCAGCGTCGATGTCCTGTTTGAGGAGCTGGAACAAGAAGTGAGCGCGTGCTTTAACACCTGGATGTGCATCATGAAGTCCCATTGCGAGTGCTGCAGCTAAAACAGGGCGCGCTTCACCTGGTGTGACAAACAAAAGCTTGGCAAGTGATGTCATCAATGAAATCTTCATCATTGACTGCTCATCGTGTGCGGATGGCAATGCACTTGGATTGGCTGTCTTTGTGGACTTCTTGTCGTCCCAGAACTTGAGCATGACGTGCTCCAAGCAGTAGACTGAGTCGGCAACTTTGTCACCGTACTCGCCAAGGATCCATGCGTAGGCGGCGAGAGCTGGGCCACTGAGATCTGACGGTGGCTCTGATGGAATGAGGGCAACGAGTTCTGGAAGAGCGGATGGGACCCGGCGCATGAGATCTGGAAGGACAATGAGGCACTGGTTGATGAGGTTCTTGCGCTTCATGTCGAAGAAAGAGCGGAACTTCATGATGACGAACTTGATGGCACCATTGATGGAAAGAGCAAGATCTCTGAGGAGTTTGATACTTGCTTCGATTGTATATGGCTTCTCGAGAAGGACGTATCTGGCGGTGGTCTCAATAACATCGCGGGCGAAGACTTCGTCCGTAATGATCTTGAGAATTTCGAATTTGCACTCGGCAATGTATGGTGTATCGTTGAAAGCGACGAGGAAGTGTGGGATGTGTGGTTTGAAGGCGGCTGGGAATCTCCTGGCCATGACGTGTAAATGTTTGAAGATGGAGTACTGAACTTCTGGGGAAGCTGCGGATGTATGGGTAATGAACTTAGGAATAACTCTCTGGACAACTTGGCGCTGGAGGTCTTGCTTGGAATCTGTAAGAGCAAGTAAAACCTTGGTTGCTGCAACAAGAACTGAAGCGGAAGCAGAGGAAAGGTATGGATCGACAATGTTCATGATGTCGAAACGCTCCTTATCGGAATCGGGTGTGTACTTGGAGATGACTTGAAGAGCTTCGGATTGAGCCCATTCGGAGAACTTTGGAAGGGAGTTAACAAGGTGGTGGATGAGCTTCATATCGAAGTTGATGCCGCCTTCGTCCTTGAGAATGTCGGAAAGGGCAAAGAGGGAATTACAGATAATCTGTGGATCTCTGTCGCGGAGTAACTCGTAGAGTCTGTTGACAATACCCTTCTCCTTGATTGCTTGTGGAGCAACCTTGTTCAGGTGGATTGTAGCTAAAACCGCCATACGACGAACATATGGGTTAGAATTTGCCAAACCGATAGCGATGATCTTTGGAAGCTCGTCAGCCATTGTAGCAACTTTGATATCGCAGATAGCACGAAGAGCCATGCCGCAAACGATTGGGTTGTTGGAAGAACAATCTTTGAGTAAAGAGTTTGTGACGAGAATTGATGTTTCTGGGTCTTTGCATGCGATTGATGTGAGGATTGTGTAGACCATACGCTTGCATGGAATATCGTGTGCTTCTGAAGCGCAGATGACTGATCCAAGAAGTGGAGAGACATCTACACCAAGAGAAAGCTGTGTAAGCACTTCTTGGAGACCGGCTCTAACGCCGATGACATCGAACTTGGTCAAAGCTTTGTCAAGGTCATCACGGGCCCACTGGAGGTTGTATGGTAATGCCATTGAACTGATTGTCACTTTTTACATCGATTAATCCGAAGTATTCGAAATTTCTTTTTTAAAGCATGCATACTAAATATTAATCATTTCTTTGTTGGAGAAAAAAAAATCAATCATCAGTCAGATTGGTAATATCCCCCATAAAATTAATTACCTCCCCCTTTGAAAAAGTTGACAAATGTAGAAAATTCAATAATGAGTGGTATTACAGAATGAATATATGTATGTAAAAAGATTTACAAATAAATTTGAAAGAGAATTAACTCAGTAAGATTATTGATTTAGCATGATTTTCTGATAAAATCGGAATATTATACTTCCAAATCCTAAAACTAAGAAAAACTCCCTTTGAAATTGTATGACATTAAGCGTAAATGATTTAAAAATCTAAAGAAAACATTTATTTAAATTTACAATTCGTCAGAATGAGTTTCAGACTCTTCAACTTCAGGTAATATGAATATGCCACCTTCGACACTCCAGATGCTTTTAGTATTGATCGACGAACAATTGACCAAAAAAGCATAAGGCATTTCTGGATGTTCTGCATTAAATGTTGTATATAAATAGCAGTTTGCATCATCACTCTTCAAAAAGAACTCATCTCTCTGGTGTAAATTACCTTGTTCTTTGCACTCTATTGAGAATAAAGACATTCTATCATTAGGAACCTTAGAGGCGAAGACAACATTCTTATTTTGGGATTCGTCATTCCTGACATTAATATACATTTCGTGAAATGCATTATAAAGGTAAATTTTTTGTCCGCAGTGAACAATTTCTGTTGATTTAGCATTGTGTGGATCGATAATATTCCAGTTCCAATCATCATTAAATGGTGGATTTGTAGTCGTGATTGTAGGTTTTTTGTATCTGGCGTCATTTCCATCATAAACTATACCAAGTTTTGTCTTTGTTGCGTAATTTTCTATTTGAATTACAGAATTGAATGTGACTTCAGCAAGAGTGATTAAGAAAAGAGTAAGAAATGAAAACATTTTTTTAATTGTCACATTTTTAATGTTAAAAAGTGACAATAATTATGAGTTTAGAAGAAAGGCGCCAAAAATTGCTTGAAAATACATTAAATGAAGTTAACAACTCTCTCGCTGAGATATTAAAGATACTTCAAAAGGATAGACCAATTGAATTCATATTTAAAGCAGGAGAAACGCCAGATTTAACATTATCTCTTAAATCTGAATGTGGAACTATTAATTCTGGATATCTTCTAATAAACAGACCAAACAAAGAATCATCACGTCACGAAGTACTATCATTTCCACTCTTATTTGTTCATCAAATTTGTTTGAAATGTCATACTCTTCGACAGCAGATTGTTTATACAATTCATAATTATAAAAGATGCACATTACAATCGATTGAATCATTTCTTAGCATGGCAAGTCAAGCAATTGCAATTTTATCAGATCCAAAGTTCATGAAGATACCAATCACTAATTATTTTGAACCACCATTACCTCCTGACATTGAATTAGATATATTTTTCCAAAATGGAAATGCAAAATTATTATATTCGCCATTTAACAATTTAGAAGCCGGAAGTGCCAAAAATGTTGAAGATGAAACATTTCTTGTTGCTTTAGAAGGAATTTTACTCAGAATTATTCATAGTTTGAAATATTTAAGATCAGACGTCATTACATGGGCTATTCCAGCAGACGAATAGAAGTATGTCGTAATTTTTATTACAGTAATCAATCTCAAAACAAAAATATTAATTTTTTTACAATTGTTCGTAATATTTCAAAATTTAATAACAATAAGTGAGACTAATTAATCATAACTGTTATTCTTACTAACTGGCACTTGGATAAACAAAAATAATTAAATAATTTTTGTTTATTCTATAGCATGAAAGATTATATGTATTTACGGTATCTAATGTCTATGACTTAGCATAAAAATTGTTGATTATTATTATTATATTTTATGTTTTTGTTAAAAAAATAAAATTAAATTGTTTATTTCTTTCATAAATTTTGAAAAATGGTTTTCTCATACTTGAAATGGAACTCGAATGAGGCTAAGTATTTATTCAGATACTACAAAGAGCTCATGATAAAGTAAAAAGTTAATTTTGGCAATGATAGTAATTGCGTTACATGTCAAATGAAATATATCATTTATGAATGTTATTCGTATAAAACCATGACCGCTTCGAGTTGATTCAAAGAGTTCTTCTGTGGTTGAATTTTCTATGGAAGTATAAATCCAAGGAAGAGGTACTTTTCTCTGGCCGTCAATCATTTTTGTATTGAAAAATGATAATTTACTGTAATGAATGATGATCCTCCTGTAGATCCTCCATAACTTGAAGAAGAACAGCCTGCATAATATCCGTTTCCTGAAATTGCACCCCAATCTTGAGTTGGATCAACAATGTATCCAGCAATACCGAATGTTCCAGAAATTCCCCTAATGTCAGAAGAAAATCCCGGATGTGTTTGGTTTGCTCCATATAATGTAAAAAGAAAGTTATTATTGTAACGATCTGACGTGTTTGATTCAATAGAAAACAAACTTCCTGCAGGCGATAAAGTTGACAAATGATGTTCTCTGGATCCACCTGATGCAGCAACCATTATACGACTCTTAAGTGAATTAAAATCATAGAATTCTCCTCCTTGCAAACGAATATCAGTTGCTCCTCCTGCCAGTTCACCCTGATAAACAGTTGCAGTGGGAGGAACACTGTTAAATTTACCCATTGAAGGACCGATATATAAATACATCTTTGTTGTTTCTTTGATTTTTATGTATCCACTTGTATAAGCCCCATTTCCATTATTTCCTGATGCTCCCCAACACTCAATTTTATAAAGAGCTGGAAATAATTGAACTTCATAATTAGTGCAATTATCTTTGTTTTGGCAAGGAAAGCCGAATAATTTTGAAGTTTTACTGTATGTAACGTTTGGTTTACCATATTCTTCATTGAAATAGTATTGAATGTAATCAATAACTTCATAATTCCTGATCTAAATTATTAATGTCAAATTTAATAAAAAGTAACATAATGATTGAAAGAATTTTGGATAAATATAAATATCTAAATAAAAATCATTCTGCTTTAGACTGCTCTTTTGTTATTATATCATTTCATATCTATGGAAATTGATCTATACAAATTTCAAGAGTCATCGTTTCCCGCAAATATATAACATAGTAATTTAAATGGTAAGATGCTCATATATAACTTTTATATTTTTATTGGCGATCAAGACATTCACTCAAATAAAAGCAGCGAATTGTGGAGTAACTTTAATACTCCATAGGTTCATTTCTTGAGTTGTATTTTCACGATGTGTAATAAGAAATTCCATTGTGTTTCAAAACTGCATACGAATTAAAATAGGGTTGTTAGATTCCCGACGATAGGTGTCTTGGAAGATTTGCCTGGTGTCATCATAGTGTCTTTAAATCAAAAATTTTATTTTGGAGTTAGTTTTATTGATTTTTCAATAAAAAACATTTCTAAAACAAGAAAATAAAACGATAAAATATTTATATTTTATATAAGGATCTTATATATTTAAAATAAATATCATTTTATTTTTTTCATTGGTGTCTGTCAAACCATAATACACTATTCAAAAATTCAATGTGTCTTGCGGTTTCAAAAGACACCTTCAAATTGAACGATAGCATAGACACTATTGAATTTTACCCATTGTATTTAGTTTTTACCCTTTTTATTTTTAAGAATTAATGACTGAAACAGCCGTTTTGCTATGACCCCAATCACTTTTATTTATTATTTTAAATATTATTTAATTTTATTATTTGAATAGGCCAACTTATATTTGAGAAGCTCAATTTGAGACCACTTAATACATTGAAATATCATAAATATTGAAATATTAAAAAGTGTATTTCAAAATATTGAAATTATAAAAATTTATAATACTGAAATTGAGACAAATTAATAAATTCAATGTGTTTTTTTGAAATAACTCTCAAATATTATTTTTTTGTTTATTTAATGATGAATAAATATGATTGCTTTAGTCAATCATAAAAACTAATTTAAGTTTAAAATAATGAAAGGATAATTTGATCGTTTTTTAAAATACAATTATTTTTGATGATTTACAAGAATCTTTGAAAAGAATATAATATAGGTTCTATTTTTGTAAAATTTATCCAAATCATGTATTATATAAATTACGATTAAAACAATGAAAGAACCAAAAAGTGTGTTTTGTGTTTTGTTGTTGCGTGTTGGATGCGGGATCCTGTTATTTCCGAAATCGACAAAAAATTTGGAAATTTAATTTCCGAAATCGAAATTATATTAATGTTTTTAATATTCTTATATCAAAAGGATTAAAGTTCATTAAGAGAAAAACAATTCTTCTTCTTCAATCTATTGGCGCATTTATTTCTACACGCCAATAACGAAGGGAAAATTATAAGACACCATGGTGTCTTCAAAACGCTAATTTTTGATATTTTTAACAACCCTAAATTAAAACATTTTAATATCTTTGGAAATCAGTTACATGTCCATAAATACAACCCCCGTGTGAAGTAAGAACTTTTGCTGCCTCTTTATTATTATTCATTGCAGCCCAAGAAAGGGGTGTCCTTCTATTATAGTCTTGTGCATTAACATCAGCACCATATGAAATTAGCAATTCAACAATTTCATCCATATTATTTTCGGCTGCATAATGAAGCGCTGTTTTCTGATCTGTATCTTTTGAATTTAACCATGCACCATGTAAAATAAGAAATTCTGCTGCTTCTTTACAACCAAACCATGCTGCATAATGAAGAGCAGTTCTCCTACGGTGATAATCTTCTACATTTACATCCAATCCATGAGCAAGAAAGTATTCGCAAAGGGAAGGAATATTGAAGCACGATGCATAAGCAAAACATGTATTGATATATTTTGTTCGATCTAAATCAACAAATAACGCTTGGAGATTATGGTAATCCAAAGTCCATTGCAAATTTGTAATTTCCAGATTGTGTTCATTGATCAAGAAAGTAATAAAATCAATGTTATGAGAAATAATTGCATATTTCATGCATTGATAATCTGGTTTTTCATATTTCAAACACTCACTCATAATATCTGGATTTCCTCCCAAAAATGATAAATGAAGACATATTCTGGTAATATCTGAGTTGAATTTTGTTCTTAATAGCTTAAAACAACCAACTGAGCCATAATAACAGCACATTTCAAGTAATGAAATCCCATAATATGGATAAAAACCGTATACTTTTTGATCTTTATCAAAGCCTTCTTGTTCTATAAATATTATAAATAATTCTTTGTTATCATCCATAATTGCTCTGTAAAATGAATTTTCTTCATGAATATTACTTGGTAACTTTGTGGTATCATAATTTGTTTTATTTTCTTCTTGAAAATCTATTCCAAACTTTTTATAGATACTGTTGACTGTTTTTGGATGAAATTCTTCGATAATCTTTTTAATCAAAATCTGGTAGCTCTTAAAATAAAGGAGATTGAATCGTATGGTAGTCAATATCATTTCGATAACTTTAGATGGGGTTTGTATTTTCGTATCAATAAGATACTTTTTAATTTCACTGTAAAACTGGTTTATTTCTTCTTCGTTGCGATAATTCAACCGATATAAATTGTTTGAAATTCTGATATAATCTTTGTTTAGCTCTACAAGTTCATTATAATCGAAATTCATTGAATAAAAACTTTTTTTTATGCGTTGTCAAAATTGTTTAAATTAGCATATATAGAATCTGATACAAAGTTATTGGAAAAAAATGGTTAGGTTACTTCAAATTTTTTAAAGCATTGAATTAGCTTTGTAACTAAGCTCAATCTAAGTTTTTGTACGAATAAGGACTTATCTGCAGCTCTAATGGCTTATAATATAATAATCTAATTTTCTTAAAAATAAGTAAAATTTTTAGATTAATTCAAGATGTATTTGATATTAATATGAGTCAATGATTCTATTATTCGAAATTTTATTTCAGCTCTAAGAATAAATTTCCATAATCATGATTTACCCTATATTTCCAACTCTTGGAAAATTTTCATGACCCCCTACCCAGGGTCCTAAAATGGGTATTTTCCTCACACAGACACCGTGGTTTTTTGAGCCGGGAAATAAATAGCGCAGACAGTTTCTACATATAGAGACATGCTTATACTTAGAGTTTGACGGGAATCTAAAGTGATTTTTTTCTGCATCGCGAAATCTAATGCAATCTCAAAATCAAAGAAACTGCGAATCGGAGCGCAATTTTTTAATATGTTAATATATAAAGGTACCCCTACTACTGCAAATGCTTCAAATGAAAATCTAAGAAATCAGATTAATTTGATCACATTAGTATAGTATTGGTCAAACCAAAAACTCATATGTTGATATATAGCCTATAGATATTCATATTATCTACTTTTCATTGAATTACATAAGATTTAATAATCTCATAAATATTCTTTTTAATTTTCCGAATTCCGTGTGCATTTAGATTGCCTATACCGTATATAATAATTCTAGAATGGTTTGGTTAGATATTAAGTTTTTTAGATTAATATTTTAACATTTTGATAAAACAAGCATTTGTTCCATTTTAGAATCGCCATTGAACTCTAGTTTGACTAACATGATGTTGTATGATCAAATAAATTCTAACTTCATGAGATAAATTTTGAAATTAAAAATGCGATATCTGACTCAAATATTTTATCTGAACACATTTAACATTCAATGATAAACTAAAGTACTATACAGCAGATTCGATTTGGCTTATATTTTATATAATCAACAAATAATCCTATAAAATTGTGCTATTCACGTTGCTCAAAGATGTATTGAACATTCCCTACTTGTGTATTGATAAAATTAGATATAGATTCTAATGTAAATCGATATTTTGAAAATTCATATATATTTTGTCTTGGTTTGGCATTTGATCGTGTTGAAACCGGAATTGCAATATATATCATCTAAATATATAACTATCAAAATATGAGCTATAGATTTTTAAATTATTCTCCTGAATATGAGTGACTAACATAATTATATTGAATTGAGTAGTAAGAATCATAAATATTAGAATCTGACGATAATTTATTATAACTTTATATAGGAACAAGATTATAAATGATGATGAAAATAAAGATTAAATTTAAATCTGAAAATTTGAAAACATTAAGTGTATATGATAGCATTACAAAATTAAATTTTATGTGGAAGAGGAAATAGAGGAATTAGAAGTATTATGAGAAAATAATAAGATATAAAAACAAGATTCTATTAAATGAGTTAATTTATAGAAAGGAATAACAGTGTGAATGTAGTAAATGAATGTTTTCATGATGTATTATTGAAATCTTAAGTTTTGTTAAGAAGATAATAAGGGAATCAAATTTTGTATTAGGAAGTTTGACCGACAAGAGTGTATTGTGCACTCTTGTCGGTCTGCATGTCTCATTCCGGGAGACATTGTCACTGCATGTCTCCCAGAATGAGACATCTTCCGCATTCATAACTTGAATGCGGAAGTTTGACCGACAAGAGTGCCCAATACACTCTTGTCGGTCTGCATGTCTCATTCCGGGAGACATTGTCACTGCATGTCTCCCAGAATGAGACACTCTTCCGCATTCATAACTTGAATGCGGAAGTTTGACCGACAAGAGTGCCCAATACACTCTTGTCGGTCTGCATGTCTCATTCCGGGAGACATTGTCACTGCATGTCTCCCAGAATGAGACACTCTTCCGCATTCATAACTTGAATGCGGAAGTTTGACCGACAAGAGTGCCCAATACACTCTTGTCGGTCTGCATGTCTCATTCCGGGAGACATTGTCACTGCATGTCTCCCAGAATGAGACACTCTTCCGCATTCATAACTTGAATGCGGAAGTTTGACCGACAAGAGTGCCCAATACACTCTTGTCGATCTAAATGTATCTTACAATCAAAGACACTTTCATACAATCTTTTCGAAGTTAAAAAAAAAATTAATTATTTCTTTCTTTTGTTTATTAAATCGCCTTACTCACGTACTAATCTCTTTTAGAGACTCTATCGAGCTATCCCCACATATAAACCTGTGACAATAATACATATTTACTCTTCATATTCTGATCTCATGACACATTATCGCAAAAACTATAATTATACAACACATCTCATAAAGTCTCATTTTAGCCCTATCTAAGCGTTCAAAACCTATTTTCCACACGTAATCTGATTCTTCTGGCTCCGCTGATTCGATTTCTGCTGTCAGATCGTGAAAATATGCATCACATAAAGAGATAAACACAACTCAAAATTATTGCTTTTTTTTTTCAAATTGTCTATTCATCCATCTTTACATATTTATTATCTCCTCCGTTTCCCCTCACAAATTCTTTTAATTTTCTGAATAATACGTATAATAAAACGAATATCTCAAAAACTAAAACACAAAATTAATGTTGGAAAATGACTAGATATAATCTGAACTTTTGAATTCATACATTTTTGGAAAAAATTGAATTTTCAAAAAAAGAGCTTATTTAGGTATGAACCTGAAGAGAAATTTTAAGGAAAATATTAAGTTGTGCAATTTGCATTTATCTCTTTATGTGATGCATATTTTCACGATCTGACAGCAGAAATCGAATCAGCGGAGCCAGAAGAATCAGATTACGTGTGGAAAATAGGTTTTGAACGCTTAGATAGGGCTAAAATGAGACTTTATGAGATGTGTTGTATAATTATAGTTTTTGCGATAATGTGTCATGAGATCAGAATATGAAGAGAGTAAATATGTATTATTGTCACAGGTTTATATGTGGGGATAGCTCGATAGAGTCTCTAAAAGAGATTAGTACGTGAGTAAGGCGATTTAATAAACAAAAGAAAGAAATAATTAATTTTTTTTTTAACTTCGAAAAGATTGTATGAAAGTGTCTTTGATTGTAAGATACATTTAGATCGACAAGAGTGTATTGGCACTCTTGTCGGTCAAACTTCCGCATTCAAGTTATGAATGCGGAAGAGTGTCTCATTCTGGGAGACATGCAGTGACAATGTCTCCGGAATGAGACATGCAGACCGACAAGAGTGTATTGGGCACTCTTGTCGGTCAAACTTCCGCATTCAAGTTATGAATGCGGAAGAGTGTCTCATTCTGGGAGACATGCAGTGACAATGTCTCCCGGAATGAGACATGCAGACCGACAAGAGTGTATTGGCACTCTTGTCGGTCAAACTTCCGCATTCAAGTTATGAATGCGGAAGAGTGTCTCATTCTGGGAGACATGCAGTGACAATGTCTCCCGGAATGAGACATGCAGACCGACAAGAGTGTATTGGGCACTCTTGTCGGTCAAACTTCCGCATTCAAGTTATGAATGCGGAAGATTGTGCTATTCCTGCATATTTTCTACGAGCCTGCTTCATAAAATTGAATCCTTCTACCCAAATTAAATGCGATTTTGCTAATCTTTCATCTAAAATCACTAATCAGAAGCATATTGCAAGTTAACTTGAACCGGCATGTTCCTCCTATCCTGTCTTTCAGTTCTTTCTATCAGCCATGGTTCACAAAAAGGAGAGCTTTGCGCACAATCAGACATAAGATTGCGGCAGAGGAACCGGGAAGAGAGCAGCTTGAAGCGGTAAGATGTCCGAATGCTGTCTCCCACGTGTATCTGTCAGGCAAAGTTCACAAGGAGGAGAGCTTTGCGCACAATCAAACAGAAGATTGCGGCAGAGGAACCGAGAAGAGAGCAGCTTGAAGCGGTAAGCTGTTTTCAAGTCTTTAGTTAACAAACTTTAACAAAAGACATCTAAAAAATTTGAAATAATTGCAAAATAATGCCATCAGGTAATGCGCACCTAAGGGAGGTGTTTTGCGGGAGCTGGGGGTATCTTGGTGAGTACTCAGGAGGCCAAGAAGGGCACCCCAACCGACATTTTGCTGACGCATTGTGTAAGCAACCATTCTGATAACCGCTCAAACCGTCGGGACAAAATAATTTATGAAATTATAAGTCATCTTTCTAATACATATTTTTGGAAGGGCGTAAGATACGCCAACTTAAATATATTATTAAATATGAGAAAATCGCTCAACAAAAAAACAATTCTTTCAAAAAGTTTGACATTGATCTTTCTGATACATATCCTATGGAAGGAGTTTACATTCACAAAATAAAAACCAGTTCAAAATCTTATTACTCCTTGAATTAAAATCATTTAATTTCAAATCCATTCCAAATCCTTAAATCTGTATTAAAATCATTTTGCCAACAACCAACACAATACAAATTACATTTCCATATATCTTCTTGTCCATTTTAATTTTTTATCTCATTTTATTTAATTTTATTTAAAGCATATAGACATCGAGATCCTTTACACATAGTTATATAAAAGTCAAATACATAATAAATTCTTAATTCTAGAGATATCTCAAAATCTCAATTTTTTAATTTAAAATACCTTTCATTTTTCACAGTACTATCACAACAAACAAGCCATTTACTAATTAACACATATAAGAAAAATATCAAATTACAAAACAACTTTCAATATCATTCGCATCGAATTCTATTTTTTCATAATTATCAACTACATGTTATTATATAATATATGTCGGCGCATATTCCACTCTATACAAGTGTCAGACACACTCACACAAAGCTGTGAGATTCATACCTCTATCAGTAGGACTTCTCAAATCAAGAACACATATGTTTCACTATCGCACATCTGTGTAGGATCTAATTAACCCTTTGGACTGGTACTTCAAAATTTGATAATTTGATAATTTCATGTGATATCATCATTTGCCTTTAAAACAACTATGCGTTAAACTAGACACGTTTCTCTATCATAATGCAAAATATCAAAGTTTGGGAGACTCCCAAAGTGTCTGAAACTGATCATAAGGGTGAAAAACCGTTTTCCAGAAGTTGGGAACGTAGGGTATTGTAATTTTGATAAATATTTTCATTGATATATAAAATCGGCATATTTTTGAAGAATTTGTAGCTTCAAAAAAAAAAAAAAAAAAAAATAGAATTTTAGAAATTATTGTTGGGGCATTTTCTTAGGAGAGGGTAAATTTGAATACCATTCAAAAGTAAAAATTCACAATTTGTTCGATTTGGACATATAATCTATTATTATATATAATGTAATTAAGAAAAAAATAAAATGACCTGCATATATTAATTATTTAGATTGCAAGATTCAAAAAAGCTATTAAAATTAGAGACTAAATAAATAGCGAATTGATTCATATGGATTTATGTAATTGTGAACATTAAAAGAGTTTATTTATTGATCTAATAAAAAAAGATAAAATATTAATGAGAAAATTGAAAGAATAGAGTGTCCCATTCACTCGTGTTGGTCGCAATGTATCATTCTGGGAGACATTGCCTCTGCATGTCTCCCACAATGGCACAATGTTCCTTGGAGAAAGACCTGGAAGGGGGCCCTTTCTCAAGGTCAGGGCCCCTTCTAGTCTTTCTGGTCCTGGAAGGAGCGCTTCTGACTGGTCTGTGCGCTGCTTCCAGGAAGAACATGAGATTGCGCCAATAAGCTCCTATCAACAAAATTTGACTAAAAATATAAAGTATTCTTTTGTGATTTAACGAATAGCTCAATTTTAAAATAGATTTGATTCTAATAATAAATTGAATGAGTTTCGCTTACGTTTAGAATTTAATGATTTATATGATTTTTTCGTTCACAGAAGAGTCATTGATATCCAATATCAAAAAAACAGCAAAGACACACCATAATAAATGATATTGAAGCTAAATATTACATATTTCAACATATCTAAAAAATTATTATAAGATTAGATCTCATGCAATGCCGAGAAGTTTCCTAAAGCATAATTACTTATTTATACAGAATCAATTATATAATATTCACATTGCAAATTATATACATTCTCACGAAGCAACATGAAATAGACTGTCCGAATTTGAATTCAAATAGAGATCTACTTCAAAAGGATTTCTTACAATATGTAATCTCGATGTTGATCACTGGAATACAAGGGATGCACGTAATTTACAAATTGTTGCAAAAATAGTAGTGCAACAAAAATTTTATTTTTAGCTTGTCACTTGATATATAACAATTGCAAAAACTCAATCAAAAATAGGATTTGAACAACTTTTTAAAATTGTGAGAAAAATTCTATCGGCACATTCTATTCAATTTTAAAGTATTTCTTTCATATTCCAATCGATTATTCAATATTTGCCAATCACAAATTTTAGTTCAAAATTCAAAAAATCCCTAATTTTAATTTCAGATGAAATCTCGCAAAAATAACATTGTTTTAACCATATAAATATATATTTTATATATTGTATAGTGATTTTTAAATATTTTTATGAGTAAAATCGAGAGTGAGGAAATGTGGACTACAAAAAACGATAGAAATGAATAGTTTACATGGGAATTCAATACTTACAAGTATTCAATGTCACTTTTGTGCTCGAGATTTTGACTCTAGTATATAAAGGAAAAATCTCATTTTTTATTCTCATTTTTGAATTTTTTTATAATTGAAGATTAGATAATTACTCTGTGTTTATTTAATCTACATTAAGAGGGGTTCATTTGCACAATGAATATGTATATTTTGTTGAATTCATTAAAATTTCGAACTAATTCTCAACAATAATTGATGCCATACCTGAAATCCACACATTACTTGATTTTTTATTACCAAATTACTGATTTAGATCTTTTTCAACTCAATCATTTTCAATATTCATTATTCATTCCGAATTTGACAGTTCAAAAAATGGATTTAAATAATCCCCAAGCTTTTCTTGAGAATATTCAAAGAAGGATCAGAATTCTTAAAGCAAAATCCGATCTACAAATGAGCGTGGAAATTCTTACTTCTTCAATTTCACTATTAAAGGATAAAGTTCTCGAAAATCAAGAGAAATTAAAAAAGCTCTCTATTATCTCACAACATGTGATTAATATTTTAAAACAATATCCGACAGAAGATAAGAAAGTCAACAGATATATTTTGGAATCTGTAACTGCTGTTAAATTTATTGTTGCAAAATTATCAGAAAATAAGGAAGAAAAACAAGAAGAATCTATTGATAAGACTATTTTAGTTCTAAACAAATTACAAGATGCAATATTAGATCTTATTAGTTCCGAAGAAACTACACTCTCAGATATATTCAACTCTGAAAGAAAAATCGAAGAAATACTATATTATGCAGAAGATTCAAAATTTATTTCAGAGGCTTTGGATAATACCTCATGGAAGCAACAAATCAACGAACATCGTCAAAGGTTGAATCAGTCAAACTAATTTTCTTTATATTATATACTTTATTTTTTTGTGTTGGGTTCAGATACTTTCATTGTTTGTAAACACTTTGAATATATTATTAGTCAATATAGTTTTTATCAAATCATATGTTGAGCTTTAGAAGTATCTTAGTTAAGTGTAATATTTCCAAAATTTTTGATTTTTCAAAATAATATCATGCCAAAGTCATTGATCTGATGGAAAATATAACAAATTGAGTATCTTTATGTGATCCATGGCAAGGTAGATTTCAAATTCAATCAAAAATTTTTAGAGTATGACTAGTGATTCTCAAGAAATAACAATAGCTAATGAAATTGAAGAAGAATCAAGACCACCATCTAAGTACAGCAAAGACTACTTAACAGACGAAGAATTGCGCTGTATTTTCGAAACAAAATGCCAAGATTCAAAAACTAAATTTTCTGATCAGTTATTACAAAGATTTATCAAACATTACAGAAGAAGGGAGTGCAGTAAGATATTTTCTTTTCAAAGCGCAGGTATTGGCCCTCAATGCTCGTACGTTATTTATAAGATATTTATGTCACACTCCAACTTTCGTGTGCTAAATCTATCAGGAAATGCCATAGGTAGGGATGGTACCAAATATATTGCACATTTAATCTTACAATCTCCATTTTTAATTTCAATTGACGTTTCTTCATGTTCTCTCGATGGTGAATCATGTGCATCGCTATTTAATGCACTCGCTTACAATAATTCTGTTGTTTATTTCAATATCAGCAGCGTTAGTGGTGTTACAAGAAATTCATTCGGCGAAAGCTCAATAGAACACCTTAAATTAATGTTTGAAGGCAATCATATATTGAGTGAATTAAACATTTCACAGACAGAAATACCTCCATTTTCGGTTCAATTAATTGCTCATGGTCTTGAGAAGAATAAAACATTAGAGATCCTCAACATATCAAATAACAACTTCAGATCTGCAGGAGCAGTCCACATTATCAACGCTTTAAAGAGAACTCATCTTAAAGAATTGATATTTTCAAATAATCATATTAAAGATGATGTTGCACCTCATTTCTCTAATTACATACAAGGAAATAAGTATCTCAAGAAGCTTGATATATCAAGTAACGATTTTACCCATAAATTCATTAATTCTTTTGCTGAATCTTTAATTAACAACCAAGTCTTAGAGGAAATTAACATTTCAAAGAATGCCATAACAGGACGTGCCATGGCAACACTTGGTACTGCACTTGCATCAAATAATTATATAAGAAAAGTCAACATTGCTGGTTGTCAGATTGATGCTAATGGATTCAACGAATTTTGTGTTCGATTTGCTAAGAATACCAATGTTGAAGTCTTTATCGCTCATAATAATCCGATTCAAGACAAAGGAATGGAAACTTTTGCTCATGTTATTGAAAATCATACATCTCTCAGAGAAATCGACTTTGAGTTTTGCGAAATGACTGATACAGTTACTAAACCTCTCTTTGAAGCTATAGGAAAGTCAAAAATTTCAAAAGTAAATATCAAGAATAATCTTATTCACGACGGAGAAGCTGTTCAACGCGCCATTGGCATGAACAAAGATTTGATTTCAATTAACTTCGATTATAATGATATAGATTATAAAACTTCGAATGATATTAACAGGTTACTTACAAATAACATCAAAATGATCAAAGAACAACGAGAAAATAATTACCAGAAGGTAGTAATTGACCTAAGAAATACACTTAATGAGCTCCACGACTCTCGCGAAAAAATTATTGAAGAAAGAAGATATGGAAAGCTTCTTGACGAACAACTGGCTGATGCTACCAAGCAAAACAATGAAAAATCTGAATCAAGAGCTAAAAATGTGGCCGAACTTACAAATAAACTGGCACAAGTAACAAATGAATTACAAAAATTTGTTGATGATAGTAGAATGAATCAGGATTTAATGCAAACTGAAAGTGCAAATATAGAAGTCTCAGTTCAGAAGCTTGAACAGCAATTTAAGACTGAAACTGATACATTTAAGACTGTATCTAAAGCTTTGAGCGAACTTGAAGCAAGAATTGATGGTGCAAATACTCAATGCAACATGGACTTGCAACTACTTAAGATGACCAAAGAAGATCTTAAAAAGAGATATCTTGATGCACAATTTAAGATCCAAGAAAGGTTCAAAGAACTCCATCCCCAGGCCATGAAAGCATCTATCTCTACAAGACCGTCTAGATCTAGAATTAGCCAAAATGATAAAAAATAATCGGGATAATTTCCAAAATGTTTTGACTTTTGTTTTTGTTTTGATTTGTTATTAAATATTATTGTTAACAATGAATACATTATATTTTCTAAAACGATTCATCTTTTCAAAAAGTGTATCTACCCTCACCATCAATATTCGATCAAATTTCTTTCGTATTCTTGATTTCAACAACAAACTGCTAGATATTCTCCTCTTAATATATGATATTGATTAGAAATTGGAGTAACTTTACCACTTTGCAAAAAAAAATCTTTCGATGAGTCAAGATCTTACACTTGATATCGATTACATTGCTAACAACATTCAAACATACATTGACCAAGAGAACTTCTTTGATATCATTGATAAAGATGTCATTCCTCAGGTTTTAGAAAAAGTAAATCTAAAATCTAAGGATTTCAACACTCTTTTTTTCTCAAGGCAAATCAAAATATAGTACGTATGAACTATATTCTTTTGCTCGGAAATGCAATATTTTGATTGATTCATTCGAAGATGCGATTAACGTTCTTAACAGCTACAAAAATAACCTCAAACTTAAATCTACATGTTCTTTAATTGATTACCTTAAGAAAAACAACGAAAAAATTAATTCAGATTCAAAAGAAATCACACAATTAAAATCTGAAATTCAAAACTTCAAATCAAAGATAGCTACAATGGAAAATGATATCAATCAATACAAAAACGAAATATCTTCTCTCAATAACAAAAACAGTCAATTAAATCAATCTATCAATGAATTTGCAAAAATTTCTGAATTGCGAAATTCAAATGATTTTGATTCAGTTTACAATTTCCTTAAAGAACTTTCAGATAAAGATGATAAATTGAATATGTCTATTTCATGTGCAGATGGATTAAGTGAAAAGAGAGATTCTGATCAAAATACTCCACTTATTATGGCATGTTTTAATGGAAATCTTCAATTAACAAAATCTCTTATTGAAGGAGGTTGTGATAGAAATGCAGTTAATAAATTCGGAAACAATTGTTTAATTGAAGCATCTGCAAATGTACATTTTGAAATTGTAAAATATTTAATTGGAGTTGGTTTTGATAAAAATTGGCGAAATAAAGATGGATTTAATGCAATTCTTTGTGCATCATCATACGGTCATCTTGAAACAGTTAAATATTTGATAAGTATTGGTTGTGATGTAAACTCTAAATCAAATGATAATGCAAATTGTATTTATTTTGCATCAAGTAATGGTCATCTTGAAACAGTTAAATACCTTGTTTCAGCTGGAGGAAATCCAAATGAGAATGATAAATACGGATGGTCTCCGATGGTTATAGCATCAAAAAATGGCCATCGTGAGATCGTGAAATATTTGTTGCAATGCAATATTAAATGATAAAATTTAATTGCTTATATTGATTTTTTTTATCATTTAATTTTAATGGAAGCATCAGATTCAATCATCCGAGGAAACTCATATCCATATTGATCTGATGCTACCATTAGACTCCAATAAACTATGCTTTGGAGTAGGTGACAAAAGTGCATACTCTTAAACAACCGTCGGATTTCCGGGTGAAATCGTGACACACTTTCGTCTTTCGTAGGCAGTGGTGGTTGTTACAAAAGGTAACTTCGAATGTAGCGTGAAATCTGCAAAAAAAATTCTGAAATTTGAATGGAGAACACAAAAATTGAATAGTTTACGTCAATAAAAAGAGAAAAATGAAGCCAATGTGTCTCGAACCTAGGACTTAGAGCAGCAATCCCACTGTTTATCACATTACACTACATGCATCTCTCACCTTAGTGAATGAGATCAACTATATGATAACTTTTTCCCCATTATATTCTTGTGGAAAAGTGACAAATAGCAACTTTGACCCTCTCTCCTATGCTTTATTCATTAATCATTAATGATTTACTCGATTTTATTTTGTGTCAAAAAGTTTCAACTCTAAACTGTATGACATCTCTCAAAAAGTTGAAGGTAGGTATGCCTTTTGACAGGCAGTTTATTATGTTGGAAAAGATCGAATTTCCTTTCTCACATATAAACTCGTTTTAATATACAAAGTCTCCTAATCGTACTTTTGCTTCAATGTTGAGTGAATATTCAAAAATTTGAAATAGGGATTTTCTGAAGGAATATGATTTTACTCTAATTGAATAAATTTATTATAAAACGCTTAATTTAAATTCATATCGACAATAGTCACCCAAAGTATTTACAATTCTAAAAATATTAGAGGAAAATTATAAATAAATAAATTTTAATCGACACCGGAATTTTGAGCATCTATTTCGCGTTGTAATTTCTCAGCTTCTTCCTTAGATGGGAGATTCTCTGGTCCAAGTAAGATTGCTCCAATTCTAAGAGTCAATTCTTGGCATCTTTCATCTTTTTCTTGAGCTTGGACTTCTCTCATCACGAATACGACGTGGTGCTGAATCAGATGTTGTTTACCAACTTCTGACTGTGTAAGAAGCATCAGTGTTTCAAGGAGATTGCGTCTATTTTCTGTAACTTGTTCTAAGCCTGGGAATGAAACGCCAGGGAACGCTTGTTGTAACATTTCGAATGCTGTGATATTATCTTCAATTGATGGTGGAACGAGTGGTCTGATGATATGTTTGAGAATGTTTGCCTCTTCGAGGAGGAATTGATGGCGGGTATTATCGAAACAAAGATTCCTGATAACGCCAATGATGCCTTGCTTACGGATTGGGTTATTTGATGACATAGATTCGAGGAATGATGGCATGAAGAATTTAGGATTCTCATAAAAGATCTCACGACCTTCTTTGACGAGGGTTGCGTTCATTAAAACCATAGCTGCGTATTCATATTCGTCATTGATTGTTGTAGACGCTTTAATTGGAAGACCTTTGAGCATTTCTGTCTGTGGAATTGCGTATTCAGCTGGTGGAGTAGCAAAGCGGATTGCTAATCTCAATAATCTTTGACCTTTTAATTCTGGGTCTTTAAGATCAAGTAAATCAAGAGTACCTTGATGTTCAGTTGTAATGTTTGTCAAAAGCATTAAACGATAGTTGACATTTGATGGAATTGCAGCAATTGAAGCTTCAAGAAGACGAGTAACGCCGCCAAAGGAAATAATTTGACGAATTGCTTCATTGTACTTTGATGTCATATCAATGAGAGCAATTAAAGCGTTAGCAGATACTTCAATGTTTGTATGTGATGTTAATTTAAGAAGTTCTGGAATGACAGCTGGAATATTTTGGCCTTGGCAAAGCTTCGTAGCTTCGACAAGTACTCTTTCGTCATTAGATGTGAGATATCCTCTAAGTTGAGTGATTACTTGATCCATATTCAAAAAAGGAAAAGGACTAAAATTTTGAGAAATTTTGTTTGGCCAAAATCTCATAAAATCTGTGTCCATTCAATTGGAAAATCGGGATAGTTTATCAAAAACATGAATATTTCTGTTAAAGATTTCACGTAAAAATTGATGTGTCTACTTTCCATTCAAAATATCTGTCACTTTTTTGGAGCTTCCAAATAAACATTTCTATTCTATGCACTATCTTTTGTTCTATATTACTAAAGTCTGATTTGATTTTATTATATTGTCGTTATACAACTTAGTTTGATAATTTGTTTTGCATAAGAATGCAAGCAAAATGAATTAGTTGTTGTAATTTAAATATATAAAAATTCAAGAATATATGATATATGTGGGATATATTGGAATCATTCATCAGACCCATAAACGTGTAATTGCATTGCAAAGAATTATTTATTCAAATTCAAAATTATTAAAAATAAGTTATTTATAGAATGGTATAATTAAAACCGTTTTTAACAATTAAAACAATTAATAACAATATCAACTTTTTCCCGATTGATGAATTTCATTAGAAATTCTCTTCTGTAAAAGTTTGTTTTTTTCTAATGATAAATACAATATGTTATACCTTTCTAATGGAGAGTTTTCCTGAGGTAATATCAAGTCCGCGGAGTAATTTATATTTCAATATTGGTAATTTAACAGCATAAGTACATTTTCTTTTATAGGAAATATTTTTCTCGTCAGATAGGGCAACATCTAAATAGGATTCCTCTCCATCTTTGTAAACTTCAGTTGAATTTCTAAAATCATTCAAATATTCTCCACCAAATAGAATAGCTTCCGTTGAACTATATCTACAAACTACGGTGAAGTTGTATTTAAATTTGTTCCTAAGTAAATAAGGATTGTATAATAATGTTTGAAATGCAACGTATTTGGGTGAAATTTCTTTGAACAACCCATGTTCTTCAAGTTTTTCGTTTGTAAATATATTTTCTTCTTTTGATAAGACTAAATCAGGATCTAAAATTAACAAACTGCACTGATTCTGAGGTTCAACTAGTTGTATTCTATTTTTGAATTCTAGAATTTCTGGAAATTCGCTTAGATTAGAATTTTTGATTAAATCTTGGGTTGGATAGCATTTAAAAGCAAAGAAACAGCGTTTTTCTTTGGCGTCAATAAAAGCGCATTTAACAAAAGAATTCTCATTCTCGAATTCGCTGCTCCACTTGGAAACATCAACATCTTCCAAAAATGCTCCAATCATTTTGACTTCAGAATATAACTCACTACGATAAGCATATTATTACAATGGATATTAAACAACAGGAAAATATATATTAAGTCCCTTAATCAATCAAATTTCTTACAATTTTTTTCGAAAAAAGCTTTGTGTTTTAAAATTTTTGCTAAATTGTATTGTAAACATCTTATAGATACTAACTCTTCTAATTATATTGTGTTTTTATTTAAAAATTTTTAATAAACGTGCACTTCAACAAAATTACCTCCCCATCCTTTACCGAAGCTATTGAAGCGGCAAGAGACCACTTGACCTGCTTTATTTGTATGGAAAGCTCTAGACAATCAGTAATGATGCACTGCTGTCAAAAAATTGCGTGCAAAAGTTGCGTTGACGAATGGTTTTCAAAGAATCAAACATGCCCTTACTGTAGAGAAAACTTTAAAGACCCAACAATCCCTAAATATACCGACGTATCATGGCTCGATTGCGTTTCTGAGATTATTAATGTCTATTCCTTGACTGCAGATCAAGAAACCATTTGTCCTCTACATTCAAAGCAATACGAATACATTTGTCAAGATTGCAATCAGTATATATGCGCTGGATGTCTTTTTGATATGATTACTGGCGCTTCAAATAAACATAAAAACCATAAATTAATTTCAATTCAAGAAGAATTCTCCAAAATCAAGCAAAAGATTATTCAGAAGATGCCAGCAATCGTTCAGTATTTGGATAAGTTAAAAGAATACGCTTTAGATTTACGTCAAAATTCACGGGATTTAAACGGAGACAAAGATGAAATAAACGGAGATATGGCCGAAAAATTCAATGTAATAATCAAACTTGTTAAAAACGAGTTTCAGCAAAGGGATGAAATTTTAACAAGACTTAAAGCTCTTGGCGCCAATGCAATTAATGATCTTAATGAAGAGATCAAAGCAGCTAAAGCCCAGCTTTCAAATGGCACTGCAGCATCAATTACTGAAGCATTGAACAATCTTAAAGCTGTCGAGCGAAAGAACGAAAAATTCAAGAACATTGCAAGTACTACTTTACTTAAAAATCCACTCCTACCCGATTATCACACGTTTGAGATCAGAATACCCAATTTCATCGAAATTAAAAACAAATACGAATTATTACCACAAGATGAAGTTAGATACATTTATTCTAAGAAAATACCATGCTATGGCAATAAATGGCGTGCTAAAATCTATCCAAATGGAAATGGAAACGGACTTGGAACTCATTTATCATTTTTTGTTGAACTTCTTTCAGGTCCTGTTGAATTAACACCATATCAATACAGAGTTGAAGTTATTCCAACAAACCCAGGTGCTGCACAAATCTGGAAACAATATTCTTCCGATTATATCTCGACAGATTCTTGGGGATGGAATAAAGCTGCTTCTTTGTCTACAATTACAACTCCTGATTATATAGATAAGAATGAAACATTAACTTTGCAGTTAAGTATCAGAGCTTGTGCAAGATATCAAGAATGTGCAGACATGAAAGCTTTGATTGACAGAAAGAGACAGAAAATAAAGGCTTTGAAAGAGCTTTTGAAGCGAAATGAAGTTTCAACAGATAAAGTCGAAACAGAAGAAGATGAAGAAGATGGTGAGTAACTATTATTATTTATTATTTTGTTTACTAAAGCATATTTATTTTTGAACAATATTTTACTTTAATCCAATACTCAGAATGAAATATGTTTGATATAAATATACGACAAATCGTGCACTGCAAATGAGGATCAGAAGCTAGTCGTTTTCCATCAAGATGTAAAGGTTTACACACGAAGATTATGATTAATAATATGATATGACCATATATTATCAGTAAACCACTAAAGTGAATTATTATCATTAAAGGTTATCTTAAAATGAGGTCTAACTTTTTTCTTAGTGCTCAATAACTTGACGTTATTAGATAAAATTGATTTCTCTCTACCCGTAGATGATTTACATATTCGTGAGTCACTCTTTAATATCGAATTTATGAGTTTTTATAAATAATTGGAAAATTATTCGAAATTTCATTTTTAGAAAATGCAGATTGATTCCAAGTAAGATTCGTTATAAATCATTGCCAATAAACGGCGCTGATAGTTGAATGAAAAATGATTTCTTTAAGTTTTAAGTACATTTTAATCAATACTCTACATAATATCAACAAAATACGATTTCCTAATCAATAATATCAAAAGCAAGAAGTAATTTTGATTCCAATCAACTGAATATATAACAAACATTGTATTTATGCAGAATTTTCGATTGGCTTTGGATTTGGATAAATGCATATAACGTTATCACCGCGCAAAAACAATCTATTAATTCTTCTTTGAATTGGAGCTGCTGCTGGCTGACCAGGCTTTGCAGGAGTAGGAGTAATTTCAATAACATGTTCTAAAATCATATTCCAGTGCCTATCAACTGCTTTAATGTAACCGTATAATTTTCTGTTACTTCTGAGTGCAATTAATAATGGTTCTTTATCATAAACAGCCTTAACTATAGGAGCCATTGGTCCTGTTTGTAGATTTGTCATTTCGCTTGGTTCCATAGAATCCTCTGGTTGTGGATCTTCAGTCATCCTAAAAAGTAAAAAAAAAATTATATGGCACAATATCGATATTTTAATATACAATACCACTAAGGGAAAAAATTTAAATCTAATAAATTTCACTCCAAAAACACCATACTATAGTAAAATCAAATAATATCTTAGCAAAGATCAAAACAAGAAGCCGCAATTGCGATACTTTGTGAATCCATATCTTTGCAATGATATTGAGTGGCAGAAATAATTAAATATATTGATTTTAATCAAAATAAGAGATTATCAATTGTGATTTGGACAATGCATGTAAAAGGATATATCAAATATATTTTTGAACTCTCAACATTTGAAATCATTAAATATAATTAATTTTGATTTTTTGATTATTCACAATAATAAATATTTTATCTATCTAAATGTCTTGAAGTTATGATAAATGTTATGACAAAAGATAATAAAAGAAAACAAAACTTTATATCATATATAAACACAAATATATCAAGCGGGAGCTTGTCTATTAACAAACGCATATACAACAAAGAAAAGAGAAGCAATTCCACTAACAGCAGAAACAGATATTCCAAAAATCAAAGAAGCAAGGAAACTCCTTGCAATCATTGATATTGTTGGCACAATAAATGTTGAATCCATCTTTGTCATGATAGGAGATAAACTTCTCATGAACATAAAAAGAGATGACATCAAAGGAGCTTTCAAAGACGGCCACCACCAGTTGTAATCTTCCTTAGTAAGCCTAATATACGTAGTCAGCATTGATAAACATGATGCTGTAAGTAGAGATGCAGTTATTGAACCAAGAATTGCAATCCACAGTCTCCAAATCGCATAAGGAACCCACATAAGCTTAACAACCAGGTCAAAAACAGGAATCAAAGGTAAAAATATGGCAAAACCGACTAATAGATCTTTGATTTCTTCAGAAAAGAAAGGCTGCGGTTTTATCTCGCGTGGGAAAGCCGAACAATCCGCAATACCTTTGAATCTGTGGAAAACCATGCATAAAATCGATCCTATCGCTCCATTAAAAATACTTATCAGACAACCAATGAAAATAAGGAAGAACTTATTAACAGTGATGAAAGCCGTACTCATTGGTTTGCCTGTAAGCGTACAATCCAATAAAACAAACAAAGCAAAAGTAGATAAATGAGCATATAAACTTCCCTTGAGAATTGTGAACTTCTTCGTGTTGGCACCTGTCGATGCATAAATGTATTGCATCAAATAACCTTCTGCAATTGATAAAACAAGGTATGACCATATACCAATATTTACCAAAAGGGAAGGATTGGCAGGAGATGTGATATGGAGCACGCAAGGTATAATAACGGACAAAATAACTAATACTAAATGTATTCCATGAGCTATAAAAGCTGACCAAATGAGAGGATGACTTGGAGGACGAAAAACATCGTTTCTAAGGGCTTTCCAACCTGTAACTGTGGATGCTGTAGCGGACTGTTGGCGTATATATTGTAAAAAGAAGATATAGAAAAGTAAAGATGCAAGAAAAACGCCAATAATAACATTGATAATAAATGCCCACTTAATAGAATGGGTAAAGCTGTTAGCAACTGTTAGTTTCCATCTATCATTGGGTTTTTCATCAACGTAATCGAAGTTTATTGAGTATGTCCAGAAAAATTCTGTTGTATTCTCAATTGAATCGGGATAATCGAATGTACATGGAGGAGGATTAGGTTGACTGATCGGTATAAGCGAAATACCCATAATGTAGTTAATACCAAGTGCAAAATCTTTGAAAAGATGAACGGTTATATTAAGATGAGTGGAAATGTAATGTGCATTTGCTGTAAGATTATGAGGGATGTTCGGTGGTTCTCTAAATCCTATGTCAACACCATATATATTCTGACTAACTCCTTCTGTTGTTGAAACATCAACATAAGCAGGAAGAGAATCAGTATAATAGCGAATTTTGTAATGGTTATCGATTAGGTAATAAAGTAACTCTTTTTGCTCTTGCGTATATTTCCTTTTGCATATTAATTTACACTTAATTGATTTGTGCATATTAAACTTGTATGGTGTTGATGTTATTTGCTGGCCAATAATTTGATCTGTTAAACCATGTGTTACAGTTAAATCATTTGGAAGGCAAAATAGATCGCCAATTGAGTACGGAAGTGGATGTGAAACTTTGGAACTAACCAAACTTCCTGCAAACATTTCAAATGGATAGTTTTCCATCAATTGATCTGGTGGTGGATCCAATAAATAACATAATGATGCCTGAAATAAATAAAAAATCATATGAAATTTGTCACTTTTTTATTTCTCATTATTGATACGATTCAAGGCAAGAGAAATGAAACAGACAAAAATATATTGCACACTCATTCTTATAAGTAATCGCAAAAGGTGTTTATATGATTTAATCGTATGTGATTTTAAAATGCAACAAGCTATAATCCATTTAACGAATACGATCCATATTCACTCGAGCAAACATTTATAGGAGCAACAAATTCAACTGCATGAGAAAATTCAAATAATCATATATTTTAATTTAAAAATAAACTCCCTTTCCTTCGTAAAGTCTCTGATTCAAATTTTTGATAGAAGTACTCTCAATATTGAGGCAGAAAAACGATAGAATGAATTTACGAAGGAAAATGGGTTTAAAATAAAATAATAATAAAAATAGCAGTAAATGAATGAAGATGCCCCAATTAAGATTCTCTGAATATGCACACCTCTTACAGAACCAACCAGGTATTTCAGCGAATTGGACACTTCCTCCAAATTCCAAGCTTTGATTTTTTTAAAAAATTAATTTAAGGGTGCGCCCGGAAGGATCATGTAAACTTCAGAATTTAGAACCTTAATTTTTAAGCAATTACTTGGTACCTAAATAGGTAGTAAAACTCTAAAAATATCAAAAAGTACAACTTGGCTCCATAATAATCCTGTCATGGTGGCAGTTTGTATTCCCTAGTATTTTCCTCTTGAATCTCTTTTTCTGTCGAAATTAAATTCAAATCTCAGAAGTAGAAGTGAATAATCGACTTATTGCTGCTATTATACGAATAAACAAATCCATTATATTATTTTTATTTACATAATATCTGTTTGAAGTTCATAATTCTATAAATTTTTCTTCAAAAACATTACAATCTTGATAGTTTTGATACTGTTTAATAGGTTTTTGGCACCTTATTTAGTAATTACAACGTATCGAGTCGATCTGAACTTAATTTTCGGAAATTTAAAATATTTATCATAAGTAAAATCTGATTTGAAATTTATGTTTAATTACTATATTTTGCATAATCAAAAAAAAAAAAAAAAAAAAAAAAAAAAAAAAGGTAGTGGGGCTTCCAGGCACTTCGTGCCTTCTAGCCCTGAAGATGTTTAGTATAAATGAAGTCTTAGAGGACAAACATGACTATGAGTTTTGATATGACAAGATAGAATATGAGAGAGGTCCTATAAACCGGAGAAAGTGTTATATAAACATCTGTCATATTACTCAGAATATTATACAGAATTCAATAAAAATATATTTTAGGTGAAGAGGTGAGATTTCACCTGTTTTTTCACCTCATTTTTCACCTCTTGAATTTTCATGAATTTCTTCGTAAATGTTTTGTCAAGACTTCTTCGTAAATGTTTTGTCAAGACTTCTTCTTCGTAAATGTTTTGTCAAGACTTCTTCGTAAAGACTTTGTCAAGATTTCATCGTAAAGACTTTGTCAAAACTTCATCGTAAAGACTTTGTCAAAACTTCATCGTAAAGACTTTGTCAAAACTTCATCGTAAAGACTTTGTCAAACATGAACGTAAATGTTTTGTCAAGACTTCTTCGTAAAATCAGACAAAAATATATTTTAGGTGAAGAGGTGAGATTTCACCTCTTTTTTCACCTCTTTTTTCACCCTCTTGAATTTTCATGAATTTTACACCAAAAATATATTTTAGGTGAAGAGGTGAGATTTCACCTCTTTTTTCACCTCTTTTTTCACCTCTTGAATTTTCATGAAATTTACACCAAAAATATACTACTAGGGTCATTTACGAAGAAATCTCAACAAAGTCTTTACGAAGAAATCTTGACAAAGTCTTTACGAAGAAATCTCAACAAAGTCTTTACGATGAAATCTTGACAAAGTCTTTACGAAGAAATCTCAACAAAGTCTTTACGAAGAAATCTCAACAAAACATAGACAAGAAAGTTCATGAGAAATTAGATGAAGAAGTCTTAACAAAGTCTTTACGAAGAAATTCATGAAAATTCAAGAGGTGAAAAATGAGGTGAAAAAACAGGTGAAATCTCACCTCTTCACCTAAAATATATTTTTGGGTCATTTACGAAGAAATCTCAACAAAGTCTTTACGAAGAAGTCTTAACAAAGTCTTTACGAAGAAATTCATGAAAATTCAAGAGGGTGAAAAAAGAGGTGAAAAAAGAGGTGAAATCTCACCTCTTCACCTAAAATATATTTTTGGGTCATTTACACTCATTTACGAAGAAATCTCAACAAAGTCTTTACGAAGAAGTCACAATAAAACATCTGTCAAAAACCGCTTTTTAACTTCACTTAAAATGCCACGTAAGCTACGTAAGAATATACGTAAGAGAAGAGAGCATTGAAACATCCAATAGTAAAACTGACACCACAACAACAGTTGCAACAACAAATGCTGAATGACCCCACTATGTTGCAACAAATGTCAAGCAATCCTATGCTTTTAAACCGAGTTCTTGGTGCACAGAGTGGAGGTTTAAGAGCGGCACTTTTAGCGAAAATGGCAGGCTATGGTGGAGCTGCAGACGGAACAGCCTATAACCCTCAAAGTCAAATGAATTTGAGTTCACTCAAAAATCAAATAGCAGATGTCAAAAAGTCAAACATAGACATACAGAAGCAAATAGGTGAAAACGAAAAGAAACTAGAATATGACAGACACACAAAGAAACTCAATGAGTTAAACGTAGAGAAAAGAAGAAAGAAGAACAACTGAAAGAACTAAGTACAGAGGAATATGCGAAAAAAGTGTCAGAAAAAGCAGCAGAAGTAGCAAAAATGGAACAAGATGTCATAAATTTGAAAAACCATACTACTCAATATAATACTGAAAGATGAAGAGATAAAACAAAAGCCCTGAAGACATATATGGATAGCGATGAGTATAAAAAAGAAGTTGAAGCAAATGTAAAGGCAGAAAAACTTTTACAGTTGCAAAACCAAACCGTACAGTATGAAAACTTAGCACAAGAAAGTAAAAATAACGACGCGGCTATGCAAAAGGCAATGAAAAGCGCAGAATATATAAAAGCTAACAATGACTGGTTAGATGCCCAAGCCAACGCTAAAGCAGCCCAACTCATAGGGTCAATAAGGACAAAAATACAAGCGGATGAAGATAGTTCAAATGAAGCTTTAACAAATGCTGACTTTAAGAACGCTTTCGAAGCTCTTCATAGTAAGGTGAAACAAGTGAACGATTTCTCATCTGGAAAGAAACTGAAGTCTGAAGGTTTCGACAAAGAGTTAAAAGAAGTAGCACAAAATATGACGAAAATAACAGACGCAGCAACGAGACAGGCAGTTCAAAGTGCCTATGACGCCGTTAGAGCAACTGTTGTGAAAAGTCAAGAAAAAGAGTTACAACAGACCAAAACAGACCTAGTAAATGCTTTCTTAAGAACGAAAAGTCAGGTAGGACATTACGCTGCAGATGGAACATATGTGCCAGCTGGTGGAATTTATATACCACCAAACCCTCCAAGAGAAGCACCTGCACCAGGACTACCTAGAACATTTACATCGTCACATGGACACAGACACAGGCATGCACAACAACCAACACAACAACCACCTCCACAACCAGCACAGCAACCAACAGTTCAAAATCCAGCACAACAACCAACACAACAACCAACAGTTCAAAACCCTGCACAACAACAACCACAAACAGAACAAGGACATAAAAGAAGTAGAGAACAAGGAAACCAAGAATTCTTAAAAATGCTTAAAGAAGAGTGTGGTTTCCCAGATACTGTTGACTTTAGTGACAGATATAAAGAAGCTATTGGAAAGTTCAAGATGGAAATACTGACCCGAACCTATTTAGCTTTATGGCAGCACCAAAGGGATATAATTTCAAACCTGGAAAATACAAGCTCGCTAAGGATATTATAATAGCATATCATCCAAATGACATGGATGAATTTACTCCGAGATATTTGATGTCAGAGCTAAATGACAATTCAACTTTCGTCATGAAACGCGTAAAAAATAGAGACGGAACGAAAAACAAAAGCTTATGAATGCGGATGACGTAGATAGGGAAATTGTTAAAAACGGTCTCGGAATATATGAAATGCCAGCAGATGAGGTACAAGAAACTCCACAGGAAGAAATAGTTCAGATACAACCAGACATGGAAGAAATAGTTCAGCAACAACAGCTAGAAGAGCCTGAAGGAAACGAACAAGTCACTCCTTTGGAAACTAACCTCACAGAACTAGATGAAGATTTGGAACACAGCCGAAAAATCTTGACCCTCAACAAGAGTATGCGGAGAATATGGAATATTTCCAAGAGTCTAAAAAAAATTCGGCTGACATAGTAGAAGAATATCGAAAAATGTTTGCCGACATACAAAAGACTCCAACACCAGATGAAAATATCCAGCATAGAATGGAAGAACTGAAAAAAAATGTACACAAATACAACAACCCTTTTTACTTACGAGCATTTAACGTTCAATCTTCGGATGAACTCGGTGAAAATAAAAGTTAAATTTCAAGAAAACATATAGAAATGAAACATTGTTTAAAGTTCATTCAGAACCTAACCAAGATGGAAACAAACCTACTTTTGTTTCTGCAGACGATGGAACTACAATGAGATGGGGTCATAAAGCTAACCCGGATAGGTGTTCATAAACTTACAAACCTCAATTCAAGAAGTTGTAGACGCAATGGAAGTCAATGTGAACCAGATATAGCTGGTATTTTAAGCGCGGCTTTAATGCCATTGAAAGATATGAAAGATGCAGATATTTTGGACCAGTATGAAATGAACATGGCTGATGGAAATATAACACCTGACGTTCTAGAACATTTATCTCAAAGAACTACACAGAACCATAGAGATGGTATATTTGGTGAAGAGTTTAGAAAGAAAGTTAGGGAGAGAGAAGGAAGAGAACCTATTGTACATGACCTTGCAAACGAAAGT